CTCTCTCTCTCTCTCGCAGGCAAATAAACTGCCTGACCCAGCGGGGCGAGTCGTCTCCTTTTTTGCACGTCTGTGCGGCTATCTGGAGCTAAATGCCGCATGAGATTTGCATAAATGTCGCAAGCAGTCTGTTCGGATTTTCTCCAGCGCTTGTTCCAAGCGTCTCGTACGTAAATGTGTTCTAATCGTGTTCCAAGGCACTTACCAAGCTTTCCTCTGGTTTGTTCGACGATATCATAGTTTTTTACGTATGCTCGGTTGAGATTACCGGGTATTAAGTCATTTTCATTTATACCTGCGAGCACTTCCGAGGCAGATAAGAGCTCGACGTTATCTCGAAATTGTTGGAGAAACGTGGATTGTTTAATAGAAGAGTGCCTCGATGAAAGTATCTCGGGGTTTTGTAAGAGAGATATTTTAATTGTCCGATTGTGAGAGCCCGGCGTGTTTGTTCTTCGCACGTGTAGGTTACGCTCGATAGATAAAGAATCGTGTCGGCGTCCAGCTTGTTTTATGTGTCTTGATAACACCGTCGCGGCGATCAGAACTTTCTCTGAGCTTTTCGAGCTCAAACTCAGTACGTTTGTTGGGAATCCATCCACGAACACAGTTGAGGTTTCATTTCCTCACTGTGAAGAAGATGAGAAAGATTCGTAGATCCATGATGAACCTTTTGTTTCTTACATTATACTTTGCTGTATAATATTTAGGCATGTTGAATTTCTCATTCGAAGACTTGGCTCGATCCTGGCCCGCAGGATTTTAGACTCCATCCCTCTAATTCAACCTTATCCGCAGCACCTGCTCCCAAACCCCCCTTTCCAAACTTATTCTCTGGCCCCGGAGTATTCTCCGATCTGCGAATCATTATTGTATCGGAGCAGGTTGCTATAGAAACTAAATAGAAATTCATACTTATTTGTGGAAGAATGGATTTTATTTTTCACGCGTATTTAGCAAAACTAAAAGTAAAAAAAAAAACATAATTACAGTGCACATTGTACAAAAAATTTACACATTTTACAAAAAAATCATTTAAATTAAAAAAAAAAAAAAATGCGTTGTTCTAAAATTATGAATTGATCGTTTCGACCATTTTAGTAGTTAATGTTAAGAAACTTTAATCGAACTGTTTCTGAACTGGACCGAATTTATTTATTTTTTTTAATTTGAAGTTTTATTACAGGCATATCTGTAGAGCCAAGCAAAATAACAGAGAATAAAAAAAATGAGAATATAAACTTTATACATTAAAGTTACAGCACTTTAAGAAAGTAAGTTTAGACTAGCTAATTAACAGGCCGGGAATTATTTTTAGGGGCAAAAATAATTTTCACTTGATAAATTATTTCCAAACCTATCAAGATCTTCCTGTTTCAAAAATTTCTTCAGGATCCTTTTTTTTTTACTCTGTGAGAATCATCCCAGGAAATCCTCTTTTCTCGAAATACACGTACAGAAAAAGTGATCCTTATCTTTCGAGAGAAATCGCTTTTCGGAGGAAAGAGGCCAAGGGGAGAGGTGCCCCGGGAATACAGACCTGGTTGGGCCGGCGGTCGGGCCAGGTTGGTGAACGTAGGACAGCTAACCAGAGATGACGTCATTGGCTTCTCGGATCTATGTAGGGCCCACGTCGACCGGTAGGGGAAAGAAGAGGGGAGAAACGAGCGGAAGAGAGACGAGACGATTGGTGGGGGTTGTTCGCCAGCACGGCGCGAGTCGGTGCTTTCAGGTACGAGCGTACGGCGGCCGCGTGCAGGTAGTCTCGTGTTCGTTCTCTGCGATTCAACGCGATTCCCCGGGCTTCGACGCCAACCCTTTGCCATTTTGCAACAGTAGAAAACATGGAATGAGAAGAGGGGGAGAATTTGACGCGTCAAACGTCGATATCGCGCGCCAGTTTTCTCCGTGTCGTCACTCCGTGTCAGTCCTCTCCGTGTCTCCGTGTTTCAACTCGAAGGAGACGAAAGTTCAAGCTGATTTTCGTGACGGTAGAGTGTGATCGATGCGAAGGAACGAGATAACGAGACAGCGATTTTTGTTTTCTGTGGTTTGGATCGTTTATAGCGAGATATCGGTATAGAATGGAGTGAGGAAACTCATCAATATTGAGACGTTAAATGTGGAGAGTTTAATCTCGAACGTGCTTTCTGCGCTTCCGCGAATAATTCACAGTAAATCGATGCGGCTAAGTTTGAACGACACACTCGGAGTGTTCGCAAGTTTCAAGAAAGAACATGTGAACTGGAAATTACCGAAGTTACCGTGAAATGTTCACCCCCCGCCATCTCTGACTCGAAAAGAACCCTCTTCGTCACGCGCTGGTGGAAAATATAAATCCGGGTCAGGACGTCGAGTAGAGAAGTTGTTCTCGAGAGTTTACGAATGTTCAAGCCTCATCCTCGATCGAGATGCGCCGCGAGGAATCTCAACGGAACCGCGTTCACGTCGCCGAAGGAACGGAGCACGTGGCACGCTGAAGTGGAACGAACGAGTCGAGGGAGATACGCAACGAGTCGTTAACGGCCGGAAGAGAGGCTCCCCTTGCCGATTCATCGGGAATATATATTCTAAAACGCTTCCTCGTTGCACGTGAACACAATGGGCCGATGATTTTCCATCGTGGAAGTCACGTTGAGAGGGGAAAATGCAAAAATCATTAAACAGCGTATAATTGCGCGTGGAGAAACCGTTTTATCGAGGTGAATCTGCTCTCGAGGTGTGTTGCTCCTCAGCGAGCGAATAGCTTATCAGCGAATAATTTCCAGGCGTCGACGACGATAGCAGAGGGGCGGCGAGGAGAAGGGGAGAGGGAGGCAGAAGAAACTACGCAGGATTTATTCAAAGTGCAAAAGAGCACCGGCGTAGATCGAAACGCGGTGACTTCACTTGCCAAACGAGTTTCACGTTTTTAATCGAGTCTACGACTCGTCTGGCAACGGGTTCTCCCTCGGTTGTGCGCTTAACATCCGGCATGCAACTGCTGGACAACGAATCATCCTGCTTGGGATATTCGCCGATGGTGGATCATCTGCCGAGGAGGACTACTCTCTTTCACTACGCGGCCACCTGTTTCCCGTGCCGTGGCGTTTCTTCTTTGCTTGCTTGCCTTTCCTCTTCCGCGAAACGCGCCTTCAGCGTCGCGTCATTCGATCGTCATGGACGTTATATCCTGCGATCTAAAATCGACAGATAAATCGATTGAGATTTTATTTTGATTTACTGAGCGCGGCATATTTTTGTCAAATTGAAAAGTGGCAAACGGTTGGCAAAGTGAGAACGATCGACCGTGGCAGGAAGTTTAATTAAATTGTCTTGAACTGCGCGAGTAGCGAATTCATCTCTGTTTGCGGAACGAGATTAAAATGGCATTGGGGAAGTTTGAAAAGTCGTGCTCAATTTGCAAAGTGACGCTGGAGGAAATGTGAATTGAAGCGGCATGGATATTTTTAAAAGCTGGACATATTATTAAGCGAAGAATCAGGAAACGTCGTTTTTTAAT